TATAAAGACGTTTGTCTCTGAATCCAAACCCTGCTTAAGACTGACATCCTACAGAGAAAAACGAAACCTAATGTAAAAGCCATTTACTGGTACTCGTCATGGAGAACTACTCGCAATGAGAAAAAAGATGTGTGACTTGACTGACTTGAGAGGAACAACAAAGAAACGACAAAGCTAACCAAATGTTTTTAAGCAAGCTATGCGCTACTAAAAATGTAGGTTAAGTCACTGTTAAGTCATAAATGGACATCCTGGACAAACCCCACAATTGTAAAGAGGAAACTAACGTAATAGAGATTACATTTTTCTTTAAACTCTCGGACCAAGCATAACACAAACATTCCTGTTTGCCAATGACATAATTTGAGTTTCAAGTCATGATGACCCAGCCTACACTGAGGAAGTACTATCAAAAGTTTAATGCAAGGCTTAATTAAACACTCCATTTAATTTGATGTGCTAATTATGATATAAGAATGCTCTGATAAAGGGACTCTTAAGCCCCTTACACACCGAGCTGATGATCAGCGTCGATAGATGTCGGGCCGTCGATGAGCGTTGTGTCGCCCTACTCAGATTGGTGTGTACTGCACCGTAGTGTCTTTTCGGCCGTGCCGACACCTTCCACCCGATGTTGAATCTGGAGGCCTAAGAAATCACTCTGATTGGCTGTTCAGCTAGCGAATCAGTGCATGAGAAGCGAAACGGAAGTGAGGGACCCAAATAAACTATTAAGAAGGCAAATCTGAGATTTAATTTAACTCCAGCTCTCGACACAGGTTCGGGAAAGCCCCGTGAGCTTCTCGCTGTAGAGTGAAAATGGAACGCACACGCTATTTGTTGCTTATTTATATCACGCAGTCTGTTCTTCTTCTCTCTGTGTATCACGCAGTCTGTCTTCCGGTTGTTGCCTCTTTTGAATGACGAATACATACTACCGCCGCCTGCTGGTAAGGAGAGTTATTGTCACTCACGCATGTGCAGTTCGTACGTGCTTCTTGGCCGTCGGCTGAAGTCTTTGCGGTGTGTTCCAGTGCGAAACATGGCCAAGACGCAGGAGGCGTGAGGCGACGTTCCGTCGGGACGTGTTCTTTGGTGTTCTTTGGTGTCAGTTTGGTGTGTAAGAGGCTTTATTCGTATTTGATCACCAATATGCATTATATTAACATCTATATTCATATCTAATTATTGAAGAACAAAACTGCAATGATGGAGATCCTTAGTGGTTTGGCAACATAAGCAAACATGAATCACTCCTGTATTTCTCTAGGTTATACATAGATCTCCCTGCTGCTCGGCAACAGGCAAAGATTAGAAAAACAGAGTTCAAGCTCTGCCAACACCTAAGAAGGAGTCCAGAAAAACAAGTAAAAGAAAGACAGATCTGGTATTTCCCTGTTCATCTTCGAGGATTATACCTCAGCAATGTGTGCACATGTACTGTGTGTAAAATATAAATCTATGCAGAGCTGTATGCTGGTCAAACAGATTAGTCAGCATATAGGGAATGTTAACATGGACTAGCGGTGGTGAGAAAGTAAATCTAACTTCATTCTTTAGGAGACTACTAAACCAACATTATTTGGCAGTCATTGTTGTAAAATGAACAGTTATGAGAAAGGCATTAAGATAGCAATTACAACTGTAAATTCCACAGTATTGTAACATTATCAATATCAAATGACCATTGAATACATGTCCCCTCACCTGTTCAAACAAAACGCAAACCGACAACAGCAATTGACACCATTGTCATCTCATCACAGTGTATATTTACTGCGCCTGGTTCAAAAGACATACTCAGTCATGAGGTAAACATGTAATTCACCTTAAACACGCAACATCTTCATTGTCATATTGGCAATGCCACCAGTAAAATGAAGAGCACAGACTTATGAAGCTACCAGGCGCTTACAATACTTAAAAGAGGAATACCACCCATTTTGCGAAACCATTTTAGTCATCATTATCATGACAACCTCAAAACTAGAAGTAAAGCGAATGAGAGCGATCAGCGGCAGTGGGTGTGTGTCTACAGAAGGTCCAGTTGTGATAGACACGGTTCGCCACTGTGTATGACTATACATTATTGTCATTTCTGCAGTAAAGGTATTTATCACAAGATCACTATGTTATGGCTAATGTTAGCAAACTCTAGATACAGCAAAGGTATGAAGTTGCTATTTAACTGGATTATACTGTTTAGGTAAATACATATCAACTACATATTATTAATCTCATTAAGGAAATGGAATCAGTAGGGAACAAAATACTTTTTACACAATTCAGTATATTTTAGATTAGTCGTACAACCTCTCTTGCTACAACATGGCTAGTAGCCTCTGGTGTTTCATGCTAGCTTGTGTTAGCTAGTGTCAGGAAGGTGTTAATTACACACATTACATGGTTAGTTTACCAATGATGTTATTATTTTCAGCTGTTTTAGCTGTTACACTCAATTGTAGCATTGAAATGTATTCAATAATTATCAATTGTGGACAGGATCATATCAATTAAGTAACGTATTGGAAAATACTCTTAAGGTCAAATGTTTTACAAAAACATTCCTATAACAAGCCAATACAGCCAATACAACCTTTCTTTCTAATACATACATAGTGGTTCATTTAAGCAAATATTAGCAAACTTTAGACGGTTTATTGATTAATTGATCTAATTTATAATACTGAGTCAGTTTAGTGACTTGATAACTCTTTTATACCTGTGCAGCTTTTAGCATTATCTTTATTCCGTAACTGTCACTTGTAGAGTTGATGGCCACTCTTAAGCTAATGTTACATATCTCGCTTTAAAGAATATTCTAGGGACAAATCTACTATTACATTCAGTAGCTGGTTCCATGTGTTCATGTCAGACTTATCTGCACATTTAAACCGGTCTTTTATTTCTCATTTGGTATAATGTGATGTACTTTTCCTACATTTCTAATTCCAAGCCTGAAAGTAAGCCTAAAAAGTTCGCCTTCCAAAGACTATGATTTGAAAAATACCTGAAAAGTTCATATTACTCATGTGTGATATGAAAGTCAATATCACCTGACTTCCAGGTCCTGTGTATGGAAACATAACATGGTAACACCATGTTAACATTCTTCAATGCATTTCAAGATCATTTATTTTGTGGTTTGAGGATGTACTGACCATGCACATACTGACTAAACTTATTTTACTGAGTGGTATTCCCTTCTAAGACACAGTATATTAGGCTCATACTTTGGCAAAATGAAACTGACCAGGATCCTCCAAATACTTGTAAACGCAAACAACACCTTGTACCAGAGATACATTGACAGCTATAGACATGAATTGTGTTATAATTCAATGTGTTTGAGTCACAAAACTCAAAATCGGGTGAGTTTTAGACCACCTTTTAGACAATGTTGTATTGGCCAGGACACGACATTTGCTTTTGACAGCTACAAAACCGTAAAGTATTGCTGTACTTCACAATATTAAGTAATTCTGGATATACCGTATATATATAGATAGATTCCAATATTGCAGTGTATGAAGCAAACAATGCATGTTTCATCAACAGTAATTGGACTCAAATGGGACGGATATAGCCTTACTTTGTTTTGACCTAGTTACCTTCTACACACGTCGAGACTTTGTGAAAAATGTTGAAGTAGGAGCCATTAAATAACAGGTTTGATGAATGTTGGCATACAAGACAGATGAGTTGCAATAACACAACAATTTGTCTCGGAGGCTAAGGTTGCAATGTGGGTTATATAACAAGCTAAATGGAAATATTGTGCTGTTGATGATCATATATTGCACTTATTAGTGGAATAACAAATAGATTTTGAGGGAACCTTGACAACATCCAATCTGATGAACATGTTTCATAATAATACTTTAGCTTTAATGTCACAATAAATATAGTTTAGTTATGTTATCCCCATAGAAGACAAAAGGGGTGACAGCACAACATATATCTTATAAAGTCCAGTGAAACTGATTTGTAATGTAAGATAATGTGCAACCCTTTAGGAAATCATTATTTTAAGGAATGGCTTGATTTATGAAGTTAAAAAGCAAAGTATTCTTACTGAAAAAAATCATGTGAAAATAGCAAAACTACCAATCAAATGATCCTGTTTATCAGAGCCTGACAATTTAGTCCTTTCATGCTATAGAGCTCTATTGCTGGGATATTAAATATGCAACTGAGAATAGACCTACACATGTACTTTTTCCTCTTGTATAAATGCATTGTAACCCATTCGAAACAAGTCGATTTTCAGTGGGATTGGGACTAAGTGCTAAAGATATGTAGTTCAGAAAGAATCTCAGAAAGATGAACACTTTGTTTGAGGTCTTTTTAGTGGATTTGTTGACAAGAGGAACATTTTAGAAAAATGTCATCTCGTTCTTTAAGTCGTGTGTCAAAAGAAGACAAAGCACACTTTGATAATGTGATTATAAATATTGGATACATGCCGTTTCCATAACCCATCGGTAAGACCCAGTGTATGGCCTTAGAATAAACTCTATTAGATTCTAATGTTACTATTTAAATACACAGGAGCCTAATCAGACATTACTCAGCATTGGCTATAATGCTAATTGTAACAAATCTGAAGCATCGTGAATGTGAAGGTTGAGCTATAACAAATTAAGAAATTACCAAGTATATTTTGGAATGATGATCCAGCAGAGCCTAAAAGCTAAACAATACAAACATTTGCTGCTATGCTTGACCTCATGTAATAGCTGTATTTCAGACATAAATTGGCGATGCCATTCAAATTCACTTATTTTCTAACCAGGTTTTAGAGTGATTATTACAAAGCCTTTAAAAAGGGCTGTTGAGTAAATAACTGTTATCTTAAATATGAGGGTGAATAGTAGATATTATTAAGAAAGACACAAAAACAAACAATAAAAAGATGGCCTCAGTTTCCAGTATAAAAACGTGAATCATCAACAAACATTGACACTGCATTGTGCAAGAAATAAGATCTAGTATACTGGTAACATTCCACTGTTTATTACTGGCTTACTGTGTTCAACTTTTCTTCCCTTTTTTATTCTTTTTTTAAGAAAATTATGTCATTAAAAATCTTTCTATAGTATATTCTTTTCTTAAAAAATATAGAAAAGTGTAATTTACAGTTATTTTACACATGAAATTAACCTCTGGCTTCTGTTTTGGCACAGATATGACTAAAGTTGTTCTTTTGCAGCACATGGTGTTACAGAATATGCATCGAAACAACAAACATAAGTCACTACAGCGTAGCAAAAATAAAGAATACGCAGACTTCATACACGGAAATTAAATTCATGCATACATACATTACAGTGCCATGCAAACACAGTTCATTTTGGGTATTAAATTATTTAAGATTTGCATTTCTTACCCGTGTTTCAAACATTTCATGCCTTCTTGCTATACATACATGACATGGCTTTTACATAATGTGACATTTACTGCAGCAGCTGTATGAAGTAGCCTGCCAAAAACATCTACTTTCCAAGCATGGTTTGGTAAATAAAAATCCTAAGGTTCTTATCATTGACAATTCAGCATTTAAGATTACTTTCTAACTCCACAAAAGCTGCAAATGTGGTGACAGGTAATTCATGACTCTTTTTCACCTCTGCATCTAATTCTGCAGGTGGGTATAAGTGGGTTTAATAACCCTTTTGCTTCTTGTTAATGGCAAACTATCCCTCTTCACACCACAAGAAAACAGGACAGCAGTGTCCTCTTAGTGATAGCTTATTTAGAGCCAGCCAATCCCCTAAAAGCATATTGACTGGTCTGAAATCAGCCACATCTGCTCTTATACATGGTGTCTCTATCACATGCAGGAGGTCAGCTTCAGATTTGTATCTGTCAGAGCTGCTGACCTTGAGTGTCTTTGTATCAGGTCTCCAACATAGATTCTAATCGCGCCTTCGCACATTACAAGATAATATTGTGTACACTGGGGAGGTGGGAGCCATTTTAAGACTGAACATTGAGGAAGGTTATTTGTGGACTGGACATTTTGAGATGTCATTTGAAGCATTAGGTCAAATGTTACCTATGTATTACATGGACAAGACCAGCTCAGGGCCTAAATATGTCATTATTAGTCTTCCAGATAGACAGCCGAAGTCTCAACGTCACTTCCAGGAGAGTTCTGTTTCACTATTTTGCAGCTAGAATTAATTACTTGAAGAGTACCGTGAGCCATTTTTCTTATTTTAACAGAATATTCCTTAGCTTGTATTTGTCATGATTGATGTTCACCCTCAATAGTCTTAGGCTAGGGGTGAATGGAATTCATAAAGCAGCACTTTTTTGTGACATGAGGGTGCATGAACAACAACAGGCTAATAGACGCTAAAACACTCTGCAGAGCTGAGGTGAACCATTATACAGATGTGTGATGATTATTTGTGACATTGTCTTTTGATCCATTGATCTATCCATAAGTGTAGCTTTAAAGGCTGGCAAATACTAAATAGACAGATTTATAGTAATTATTTTAATGTAAATGTCACATTTTTGCATGAGGCTTTTGTAGTTCTGGAACAAAACCTGAAGGTAATGGTTTCACTTCAGCTATCTATCAGTTTTTCACATTATTCAGATATGGTGTACGTAACTAAAAGTGCCTTACTGCTTAATTAAAAGCCTGCTTCATAATCTTCATCTGAAAGACATTTAGTAGCAATCATTGACATTAGCTTAAATAATTCATGATCCATGTTGACTTATATGAAAGTTTAAACTAACTGAGACGTTTTTGTTGTTATAGAACTCAGTCAAACTAAAATATACACTATTTGGCACCACTGCTATGTTTGGATAACATTCAGAACAATAACCAGTGCCATGCCAGTAAGCTTGTGTAAGTTGATCACAGAGACATTCATTCTCTCACATAGACTTCCCATTGTTTTCAACCTGCTATAAAGTTCAATATTTCATGCCTCGGAAACACTCTTCACTTTTGGTTTTACTGGTCTGGTGCAAAAACAGTTTAGGATTAACTTGAGTCATACTCAGGCTTGCCGCTTATTCAAATACTGCTGCACGACAGTCGCTTATCACCTCCTCTCCGTACGCTGCAGCCCACTGCAGTTCCTTTAGACATTGCATACAACCTTATTTAACCTCTGGAATAGAGCAGACATATCTCCTGCTTATATTAACCGTGGCTGTATTCACACAATGCAATGTGCAAAATAACTCTTCATAATGGACACAGTGTATGCCATCTGCCCTGTTCAGCTGTTAAGCTATTGTATCTTTCACAGAAAAGCATTTGGTGTGCTTTTCCCAGTTCCTCTCTTTCCACAGAATTTGGGATAGTTTATTTTTGTTGGGTGTGAGGAGTAAGGTGCGTGCACAATCGTCTCCTGCACAATTGGTTAGCAAAGCGTAAGTCCTAGAACAACTTCTTTGTATACCAAATGGTTGGGAAAGAGATTGAGAACCATGTTGCAGTTTGTGCAAATGAGATACACTGTCCAGACTGAAGGACTGAATGACTAACCAGTGGGTCTGCGCTCTACTCCAGCCAGCTTAGCTGCTATTGTTTGGGAGTTCCAACTCCTGAGGGGACATCTCGAACTCCCCTGCACCTCAAGAGGTGCTTTACCATTGGAGGACACCTCTAATCCATCAATAACTGACAGATAACCACTGATACTCATTGCTATAACTACACACTACTCAGACATTTGTCACATGATCAGGATTTTCCCTGACTTCAATGCATTCTATCTCCTCCCTTTCTCTTTCCCTCTCCCGCTCCCTCTCCCGCTCTTTACGCTTGGCCCTTTTCTTTTTCTTGTGTCTCGTTTTGGACGGCGGGAAGAAGGTCAGGAAGACGGGCAGGATGACGAAGCAGTGCAGCACAACGCAGCCCGCAATGAGAAGGGAGCACTTGAACAGTGTGTAGGTCAGATTGGAAGGCACAAACACCAGGGGCATGATCCCGATCACGAAGCAGGATGTGTTCTGCAGGATCGCCGCCCCGTGCTCCTCCAGTGCCAACTTGATGCATTGCGTCCTAGTGTGCTCATTGGCCAGCACAAAAGTGTACACGTGTGGTGCACAGTGATCCATGGCGAAGTTGAGGGTATAAATAAGGCACAGGATTGAGATGCTGTCCATGCCAACGTTCCAGAGGGTCATCAAACCCAAGACGCCCAGCTCGACGGACGTTACTGTGAGGATGAGCCAGAAGTTACCCAAGGGGTTGATGACCAGGAAGAAAGTGAGGATGAGGATTGTGAGTACGCTGAAGCCTGAGGTCAGGATAGGCGAGATGACAGAGGAGCTGTAGCGGTCCATGAACACAAACGTAGGATTGAAGGCAATGAACTTGATGCTGTTGATCAGCATCAACGGACGAAGCTTCTCCAGAAGCTCCACCACCTCCTCTCGCTTCTTCTCCGTCGTCCGGGCAACCAAATACATCCGAGAGGCGATGATGTCGTACTCATCGGTCTCACGGTTCTTGGAGAATATGATGTCCTCAGAGAAGTGCTGGTACTCAGGGCTGCGCAGAAAGGAGCCCTTGAGGATTGTGATGAAGTCACCCTTGGTTGACGCACTCACATTCACCACCCGCAGGTAGTGGAAAAAGTTGTCCATCCAAGAGATCTTGTTGAAGCCATGACTCAAAGTCTTCAGGTGCTCCTGCACCGTGGAGTTCCAGTACTCGATGGGTTCATAAATGTAAAACCCAATCACGGGACTGTAGTTACTGAAGTATTTCTGCTGGGTCAGGGCATACGAAACACTCGGAGAGTTACTCGCCAGCAGGTTCACAATATTTGATCCATCACTGATTTGTAAACATCCCATGAATGAGAAAGATGCGTAGATGAGATATAGAATGACCACAAAAGGTTTGACATAAGTGTTGGTAATCCATTCTGTGTAGTGCTCACGCAGGAAGTGCTGGATGAAGTGATTCTGGTAGGGGACGCTGTCGTGGTGCGTGGACAAGTCATGGCCGTCACTCATCATGGTTTTAAACCACGTGGGCTGGCGGTCCAGGTACTCCACTGAGGGGATTTTACAACAGAAAACACTGTGGTAGCGGTTCTGCTCCAGCTGTCCGGCAAACACCAGGCATGAGCCGTAGAAGGAGAAAACATAGAAGTAGTTCACCAGGATGGCAACGCACATGCTCTGGCAGAAGATTTTTACCGACTCGATGTTGGTAAAAGGGCTAGCTCCCATGCCGAATGTGATGATGTAGAGTGAGCTGGTCATGGTGTAGCACACCATCACATCGGCAAAAGCGTCTGCCACACGCTCCTTGAAGGGAAGGTTCTCCCTCGTTCTCCTCCAGCCTGCCAGCAGCTCGAACACTCCTTTGGTTCCATGGCCTAAGAGAAAGAGAGCAAAGCAAGTCATAATTATGTTTAAACTTATGTATTAGCAGTATGTACAGTACAAATCACATGTTCAGGAAAATTGGCCCATTTGAATGATATACCCTATACCTAACCCTAACCCTTTTAACATGGGACCTATTGTAGCATGTAATGCTCCAAAATGTCCTTTGTAAGAAGCATTGCTTGACATACAGAAACTAGAGAAAGCTCCAATAGTGCAGTGATTAATTAATTTTGTAGACCAACCCAGAATGAAGCATACGTTTTGTGGCCAACACACGTTTTATGATGTGGACCTTATCCTGCTGTACAAAACTGACGTATTGTATGTCGTAGAACAAAACAAGAACATCTCATAAGCTTGTGTTAACCTAAGATCTTATTTCAGGCTTCTATCTAACATCACATTAAAAAAAACATTGACTGCTAAGTCTTTGACAGGTTTTAGGACACCAATCTATAGTTGAAAAACAGGAAACTCTAATATTTTAAGCAATTAAATACAGAGAGCAGGTAACCTGTACATTTTTTGCCTCACTCATCACTCCCTAGACACCAACTGATTTTTAATTTGCCACAGCTTTAACCTTGTAAGATGATATAAAATAGATATAACATTGGTCATGTATTAACAACCACATATTGGCAGTGACTATAAAAAAAGGATTTGATTTGATGTGATTGTTTATCTGAATTATTGATTCTCATTACCAACTGCTATCACAATTTACTTAAGCTTACATAAAACCAGTAAATATGTCAGGGTATATGCTGATGTCAGCCGATTTATATAACCCGCAATACAATACACTCTTCAATACAAAAGCCAATGTACTGTAGTTTTTGGTGTTTTCAGCATTACTATTAAGGCGTCTTTGTATGAAACAACGGATTGAAAATAAAACTTGAACATCCTTGGTTTTACTCCACTAATAGAGACGCTGGCTTAGTGTTTCTTTTCAGGAGCTGTACACATTCCTCGTTACCATGCACTAGTGAGCAGCATCCAAATCTGTCTGCAGCAGACCCATTCATGTGAGTCAAATCTGTGGGATTTTCACCAGTAAAAAATATAGACATGAATACCCAACGTTCAAAGGCATATGCTCAGTAGTGCAAAATCTCCCACACAGGAACACCCGCCCACCCACCCACCCACACTTTTCATTTATTTGTAATATGCTGGAGCTGCATTCCTGATGAAAGTGCTGCGAGGGAATGTGCTATACATTTCTGAATGCTAGAATACATTTGAATGTTCCTCCACCATGTAAATATTTCAGTACAAGTGAACACCGCATTCAGCCCATGCATATCTTTCTCAGCCAACATCAGCTTTTAAAAATTCCTTTCAAATCAAGCCACTGGACAGGGACGTGAGAGGACTGCTACCCTTGACAGCATTGTAAATGTCCCCTTGTCTGTGACAGAGCATAAGTTAATTAGCTATAAAGGATCAGGCCTTTGCAATGAGTTGGCTGGATGGCATTTCCTGCTTTTAGTTTTATTAAGCAGTGCTGCAAGTCAATTAGTTAGTGTCAGTTGGTTTAAAGGGTGTGGAGAGAAGGACAATTCATGCCCAGGGTTTTTCCAACATTACACCAGGGGCGTTTCCCTTCACCAGTCATCAAATAGGACGTTATGTAATTTACAGTGATTGATTGCTGGCAGGAGGTGGGGGAGAAAAAATAATGAGACCATCTGGTTAAGTGCCCCTGGTTGGTATCATCGATTACACCACTGAAGGATTCTTACTAGAATGTTTTTACCATAGCAATAATAAGTGTTAAAGTATGTATCTTAGGAGGTATTCATTCACTTATGCAACAATACTTAGGATTTGGGCTGCACAACTTTGAATATTATTGAAAATTGAATAACGCGGTTATTTAGACTGATATTGCAATTGGAATATAATATGCAATATTAGGAATGCTACATTTACATACCTAGAGACATTGACAAGTACCAACAGTATATTTATATCTCGCCCTGTCAATAAGCCTCACCTTCTTGGCAAAAAACGGTATTGTTTTTGAAGTGGTGGAGAGACAATGCACAGTTTTACCCACTGCTGTCACCCATGGCCAAAGCATATCTCTCTGTCCCACAGAGGTGGCGTTAGACTTTTTCGCTGTCCAATCATTTCTGTCAGTTCTGAACTCGCCACTAACGTGTCGCACTGACACGGGGGGGAGAGAGAGAGAGCACGCTTTTGAACTGTCAACGGGGGGACGGGACGGTGTTATGCCGTGTTATGCATGCCCACCGAGATATGCATGTAGTCTACCTCGCGGAAGCGCGCACAGCGTAAAGCAACAACTCCCAGACATTTCAATGATCTGTACGGCAAAGTACGGTTTGGAAACTATATAATTTCCTTTTGGAGGGCATGCATAACACGGCAAACACCAGAGCCTCGCTGCGGGGAAACGTTGGCGCTGTTCCGAGTTTGTTCTAATCTGTCAAAAGGACAGACTGCTTTCAGATTTTTCCGTCATTGTTAAAAAGAATATATTCGGTTAACGCGACCACAGCTGTCCCAGCAACATCAGTACCAAGCGAGAGAGTTTTTTCCACAGCAGGGGATATTGTAAACGCCTAAACATCCCAGCTTCTACCTGGAAATGTGGACATGCTCATATTCCTAAAAACCTGTCTGATGATGATGCTGAGTGACTGAGTTAGTGTTGAGTTACTTGAAAAACTAAAGTGAAACTTTCTTTGGTACTAGTAGGTAAAAAAACACTGGTTGTTCTTGTTCCAGTCTGTTTTCCTTTATTTTTCAATATCGCGATAAATACCTTACCGACTTGTTATCGCGATATTATTGTACCGTGAGTTTTTGGTATCGTTACATCCCTAATCATTACCATACAACAATGTACTCTCTCAAGTCTTAGGGACAGCTGTTGGCAAAGTCAATTTCACAGTAGAAAGAAAATTCCAGAAAAACTAAATTGGACACAGGTAACCTTTCCTGGTAGCTATCGTATCTACTTCAACATTAACATCAAACAGCATATGCTGCTAATGTGAAATTTAAGTTGTAGTAGATAAGATAAAACATTTTAAAACACAGATGAGACCTTTGAAACAGATTGAGACTATAGTGTTGGCACTCTGTCTGCTTTCTAGTAGAAGTACAATCAATGACACTTGAGATTTCACACCTGTCTTGTCTTTCTGTGAAACTACCTTTGTCTTTGAAAGCTGTATGCTCAAATGTCAGAAGAATACCAATTAGAAGGACGAGAGAGAAGTGAACAAGTGCAATTAAAGATGAAATACAGCAGACACTGGCTGAGGAGATACGTATTTCCCACCATGTCAAACTAAGACAGGCGCTCCACTGGGCAACATGTTTGAAGTCAGCAACAAGAACAGCAAGGATAACATCAAAAAACTCTCCATCTCGTCAGGACATTCGACTTTGAAAATTATTTCATATAACGCTACCAAGGAGATATAACATATTTTGGAAATCCAGTGATTATAAAAAAAAACATGATGACTTAAAATGTTGTATTTGCGTAAATGGTTTATCTTTTGGCCGACAACTCCGTGCTTTTTTTGACATAATGGAGACACGGTTGGATTGTAAATTCAAACTTAGCCTGTATAGTTATTCAAAAAGAGGAAATAAAATATCACTTAAAGGTGGGGTATGTAATTTTGGAGAAACCAGCTCGAGTGCGCTAGAATTTGAAAATCCACTACCGGAAAAAATCTGCCACTGTCACGATCTGTCTGTGTTGTGTCTTTGATTTTCTGTCTGCGTTGTTTTTTGGCTTGTCTAGATCTGTCTTTGGTTTCCTGTCTGTTGTGTTTCCCTCCTACCTGTTCCCTCGTACCTGGTTTCCTGATTGTGTTCACCTGGTGCCCCTGTGTTTTCTCCTCCCTCCTCACCCGTCTCTTGTTTCTTTGATTAGTCCTGTGTGTATTTCAGTGCTGGTTTTTCTGTCTGTCTTTGATAGATCCTTGTTTGTCTGTGACTGTGTTCACGGGGTAGTGTTCTGTTTGTCACTTAACCTTGAAATAAAGGTATTTTCTGTTCAATCTGCATTTGGGTCCTGCCTGCTTCACTCACCCTGACAGAAGGATCTAACCAGAAATGGACCCAGCAGATGATTCATTTGAGGTGTATTTACTAAATGTTACCTTTTCATTGGCTTGCTGCTATGGTAGGTGGAGGGGAGCGTCCAGTGTTCTGCAGAAAGAGGCTGCACTGGCAGAGGCTCACCAGGTGGCAACAGAGGAGCCATGTTTAGTGAAGTTCTTACCTGACTGGAATTTGGACTTCCTTTCAACATGTGATTCCCGGCCTGCTAGCCCCAGGCCTGCTAGCCCCCTGCCTCCCAATTCCCAACCTGACACCATACATCTCGGTGTGTTCCGTCTGGAGTCAACCCCTGCTTCTTCCCCATTTCCTGCTCCTGTCCAGGAGCCGTTCTCGGGTACTCGTCTGGCTTTTGGAGGTCCACGGAGCCTCTAAAAGGCTCCAAAGAGAAGGAGTCGCAAGTCCAGACTAGCAAGAAGCCATGCTTTGGGCTCCAGTAAAGGCCCCAGCAGCCATGGTTCCGGCTCCAGTACCGGCCCACACAGCCATGGTTCCGGCCCCAGTTCTGGCCTCAGCAGCCATGGTTCCGGCCCCAGTTCTGTTCCCAGAAGCCATGGTTCCAGCCCCAGTTCTGGCCCCAACAGCCATGGTTCGGGCTCCAGAACCGGCCCACAAAGCCATGGATCCATGCACCAGTACCGGCCCACACAGCCATGCTTCCGTGCTCCTCTCGAGTCCCCTCTCGAGTCCCCTCTCGAGTTCCCTCTCTCGAGTTCCCTCTCAGGTCCCCTCTCGAGTCTCCTTTCAAGTAACCTCTCGAGTCTCCTTTCCAGTCCCCTCTCCAGTCCCCTCTCCAGTCCCTTCTCTAGTCCCTACTCAAGTCCCTACTCTATGTATTGTCCCGTTGGGGGTCCCGCCGACTACTCTTCTG